TCCTTCTTTCCTAACCAGAAATTCTTACTTATTCAAGTGGAATGCCTTGACCTCAAAGTTAGCCTTACCTATTGCCTGGCTCATCTCATCACCTTGGTTACCAGTAGGAGATGCTGCATACTCCCTGTGTGCTAAAACAGAGCATCTCTTAGTTTGCAACAGTAACTCATTCTAAAGTAGCAGCTGTGTCTAATCCATTCAAATCTCATTTTCTACAAGCAAAAGGCCTTTTTAGAAGACATACCTAAGTTAGGCAGCACAGGAGAGATGCATGAAAAGAATCAGTTGATAATTAGCTGTGGCACTGAAGGCCCATGTTTAATCAGCAAGAGATGACAGCTCCAAAGGAAGAGTGAAGAATCACAGGTATGCTTGTGTGTCTATAACAACAACAACAAAAGCTGGGGTGAAGGTGCTTAGACTGGTGTGTAGCATGAATAATAAAAACCTGGAGACAGATATTAGGGTTCAAGCTTCAAACTGAAGATCAGAGAAGCAAAGCAGCCAAGCCAGTAGATCTCACCTCCACCAAGCTGAAATGGCAATCCTGTCTCCACAAATCCTCAGAGGCAAAAGCTGTAAGTTCCTGTCTCCTCCTGAAAGCTTCAAACTGAAGATCAGAGAAGCAAAGCAGCCAAGCCAGTAGATCTCACCTCCACCAAGCTGAAATGGCAATCCTGTCTCCACAAATCCTCAGAGGCAAAAGCTGTAAGTTCCTGTCTCCTCCTGACTTATATTCCTTTCTCTGCCCAGCCATATCCTCCTGTCTCCACCTCCCTAGTGCTGGGATTAAAGGCATGTGATCCCAAGGCTAGTATCAAAGGTGTGAGCTCTGTTACTCTTCACTCTTGTGTAGGCCAGGATGGCCTTAAACTCACAGAGATCCATCTGCCTGTCTCCTGAGTCCTGGGATTAAAGCTGTGTGCCACCACTGCCTGGCTCTATGGCTTGCTAGTATGGCCGCTGGGATTAAAGGTGTGTATCACCATTACCTGACCTCTATGGCTTGTAGCTAGCTTTGATCCTGCACCCTCAGGCAAGCTTTAATAAATCTTAAATAATATATCACCATGCTGGCCATGTGCATTTGCTACTCATGTGTGTAAAGACCTACTGGGAGCTCTGGCTGAGGCTCGCCTGTCCTATGAACTACCTTATGTTTACAAACCACATAGCAGCCCCTCCAATCCACTTGATGCTGGTAGCCCTGTCCCATTCTTATCAAAACCTATGTGTGACAACAAGCAGGGGTATGGGTGACTTTATATCCATGTTTCACATGTCATCTTGCCTCCGTTTTTACACTAATGTCAACATGTTTGCATTTGTAGTGAAAGGAACATAATGTTTCTATTTACTGTAACATGTTTGTCACATTTGATTTTGCTTTAAATATTTACATTCATAAGAATTTTGAAGTTATTCTTTGTTGAATTAATTTTAGGGGGTGCGTGCGGTATTTGGGCTTGTGGTCCCCTCACCCATGTGTGCTCATGTGAAGGCTAAAGCCAATGTGTGCACCCTTCCTCTGTCACTCTCCACCTTAAACATTTGAAACACGGTCTCTCATTGAATCTAGAACTCTCTGGCCTCCATGGGAACCAGGTAGACATGCAGTTTACAGAAATAAATGTGAGCAAAACACCCAAATATATACTTAAAAAAGAGGGACATTAACTTGGAAGAGTTTCATGTGAAGTTCAAGGGGAGGACTAGAAAATCATTGTGATCTTCATGCGTTGTGAACATGCATGAAATTCTCCAAATTTCAAAAGGAAAAAGAATCACATTCTGACTAGTGATGTTAATTTTTTAAAACATACTTTAGATAATTTAAAAATTATCTTACATTAATTTGGACAGCAAAGCAAAGGCACTGGCATAAAGATTAGAAATGGAAAAATCAACAACTTGGATATGGAAAACATTTGATTCTGTGTTTCAGTGTGATGTTTCATCAACGAGATCATGTTTCCAAAGCCAACTGTGTGTGTGTGTGCACGTGCGTGTGCCTGTGTGCAGGTACAGATGGGTGTGCCATGTGTATGGATATTCAGAGGCCAGAAGAAGGTTCAGAACCCTTGGAGCTGGAGTTATAAATAGTCCTGGGTGCTAGGAACCAAACTAGGGTCCTCTGGAAGAGCAGGAAGAACTTTCTTTCAGGTTCTGACTATCTAGAGCAGTTAATCTTCACCAGAAAAGCTGCTGCAAAGTTTTTTTATATGGGATATTATTTTTGATAATCACACAAAACAGATACAAAGAAAAGAAACAACCAGCATTCAGACATGTAGCTACCCCTCAAACACGTAAAGGAGAAAATGGATTTCACAATGACCTACTACAATGAAACAGCAATGATAATTGTTGATGTAACAATTGATAATTAGGTGATTAAGGTCTTGTGGAATATCTGCTTTGTTAAAAGATCCATGACATACACAGATAACCCTGATTCATCTAAGAGAAATATCACATAAACCTGCAGGGCTTCTTTTCGTGATGTCACTTGTGCATACATTTTTGTGTGTCCATCTGAACCTGTGAGGAACACGTGGGAGTGTCTGGAGCTGATGTGGCTCCTGATTCTGCCCTGAAGGGGTTAACTCTTCCCCACTCTCCAAGGAATACAGTGGGGACTGACTCTCTTATGAGATCTGGCAGAAGTAAAAAGAATTGACAGCACTAAGAGTGGATACTGTTTTCAATGCCTTGGGCCCTTTAAAGACACGAGTGCTTACTTTCCAGACAGTTTGGTATCTTCTGTGTTTAAGAAAATCCTCTTAAAACGTTCCTCACCAGTGTAATTCATAGCCGCTTTACAACCCCGAAAACGTTTTGATGTTAGACTTGGGTTGAACATGGTTGGGTATGTAGTAAAAATAAAATTTGGTTTCCTAACATTACTGCTGTAAAACAGCTAACTATAAACAGCGTTTTACATTAATAATATATTACATTTAGAAAGCAGATTATATGATGTATATACAATGTATTTCATTGCATGCTTAAAATATTCATGCACAAAGGGAAAAAATAGGGCATCTACCACAGTGTTCACAGTATTGTTCTGGGAAGTGGGGTTATGGCCGTATTAGTCTTCTCTGTTTCCTTCCCTGCGTTTTGTGAGCATTCTATAATAAATGTATGTTGTTCTGGAAGAGGGAGAACTTTTTAAGATTCGTTTTTTAAGAGCTTGAGCAACTAAACCATTTGAGTGTGTAAGTTAAAAGTCTAGTTTATGCAGTTAAAGGTGGCGGCTGTTGGCCTGGAATGGTTATGTTAAATCACACGGAGCTAATTAGTTCTTCAACCATGCTAAGTAGAGAGCTTCTACCACAACCACATTCTCCACATCAGAAAAATGTCTGTTCCACATCCCGGAAGGAAAGTGGATTGCCAAAGTATGCTCTGGTTGTCAGGATGGAAGCTGGTAATACTGGAATAGACACCTGTCCCTGACCACGACACTGACACCTTTTCAGCACTCACTTTGATGTTCGTCCCTTACCTGTGGCCTTCCAGTTAGTAAGACAGGAAAGAATGGAGCCCAGGATACAAGTCATGTATGTCCCCATGTCATGGTGCCCAGCTTCCCTACCCACCTCCAACTCAACTCAACTCAGAGAAACTCCTCAGACGTTTTTTGAGTGTACCATGTGGTATTTGTCAGAATGAACCTCAGCTTCCCAAACTGAACAAGAGAAGTGCCCTTTATCCCTCCACAGTATTGAAGAGCATAAATAGGCGTTCTCAGTAGAGCGATAGCACAAGCAAGGGCACAGCTGTGCGTGTAAATTCCAAAAGGCTTCCCACGGGTAGCTGTGCCTTAGCGGGATCTTGATGTCTGTGTGTCTGCACTCACCAATCATCACTTCGGTGTTCTCGTTTCCCTGTCTTCTCAATGAAGAGAAGTTGTGTTAGGTTCTTTCCCCATCACTGGGCAGAAGCACTTTAGGGAGAAAGAGCTTGTCTCAGCTCATGGTTTCAGGAGGATTGCCATTCATGTGGAAAGACATGTAGACATGGGGTGGAGCTTTGCCCCTGGCTACAGGAGCATCATGCAGACAACAAGCAGAGGAGTCAGGTTACAGCTCCAGATCTCAGGTTCCTCCAAGACACCGACTTCCACCACCCAGGCCTCAAGTCCTTAATCTTCTGCAGCCTTTAAAATGGTTTCACAAGCAGGGGCCCTATACCTGTTTCTTTTCTGTTACTGTAATAAAACAACATAATCAGAAGCAATTTGTAGAGGGAGGAATTCATTTGGGCTTACCCATTCCAGAGGGTTAAGAGTCCATTGTGGAGGGGAGTTATGGCAACTAGCTGCAGTTGTGACTGCACGTGGGAAGTAGAGAGAGCAAACTGGCAGGAAGGCAGGACCTGGAGCTCTCCAAGCCCACACCCCTAATGGTAGATTTCCTCCAGCAAGGCCACACCTCCCTGAAATACTGCAACCAACTATGGACCAAGTGTTTAAATGCCTGAGACTACAGGGACCATTTCTCAGTCAAACCACTATAGGGCTTATTGTTTAAAACATAAGGCCATGAAACTCAATCTGGAGATTTCAGATTCAATCCATAATGGAGATCAAAACCGTCTGTCAAAAGGTAGCCCATATCTAAGCAAACACTATTTTCATTTCATGTAGAACAATTACATATATTTAATTTACTGCCTTTGGGCTGATTTTTCTTATATTTCAGGAACAGTTCTATGTATGTGAAATAACCCTAAATCTTCAAATGAAATAAAGTATGTTATGATTTTAAGATTTAGTCATCCATTCCATTTGAATGCATAAAGTCTTACGAGTGAATGGTTGTTTTTTTTCAGCCACTTGTCTATAAACGTTTGACCAGAAGTTGAAAACCTGGAAGGCCCTGTTCTCAAATAAGCACTTGTGATATGTAATATAATAAGATTAATATATAATTTACATTACATATAGTATATGATGAAATATAAAAATAAATCCCATCCTTGTATTTTATTAGATGCAATGCTGTTGGTGGCAGAGCGACTGGAAGGGCCGTTCAACATTGAGTCAGTCATGGATCCAATCGATGTCAAGATCTCTGAAGCCATTATGAACATGCAAGAAAACAGCATGCAGGTGTCGGCAAAGGTATTTCCAATAATAGTCTGTCTCCCAGTGACTGCGCATCGCACAGGTGCACTTGCCCAGGACAAAACGGAGTGATGAAATATGTGGACAGGGATTATAAATTCTAGGGCACTGCCAGCGAGCTTCTCCTATTGAACCACAAATTTACTTCTTCATTTAAAATGGAGAACAAAGTGGCATTGAGAAGGGAAGTGAGTTTTTAGTTCACAGCTACTCAATCATGACAAAGTTTTAGGCTGACTAAAAGTTTCAGCAAGCCCCAAGTACAGCTTACTAATCTCTCACATGTGTGAGCAATTTAAGGGAATTTTCTATTTTGATGTTTGAAATTTCTGTACACCTTCACTTTGTCCCCCCAAACCTTGTAATTATAGCACCACCTGTGAAGGTGAGGCACGAGTTATATATGGTCAGTAATAAATAAGCAAACACCACCTTTGACTTTTTTGAAGACAACTGTATAACCTTCATTAATGAGCCTTGGGGGAAAATGTTCCTTTGTATAAAGAGGTAAAAACATATTAGAAGGCAAAAAGTACCAGAGTTACATAAATTCTAAGAGACGGAGGTCCTGAGTTCGGAACTGTGGGGGACAAACCGCAGGTTTCCAGTCTGTGCTTTTAGTCACCCAGCTGGATTTAAGCAGGGCGAGCCCTGAGCAAAGAGGAGGGGTCTCAGTGGGTGGGAGATCTCCATGACAACAACCACAGCCACCACTTCAGCCCTCTAAAACCCCAGTGGCAGGGAGATAGCATTCCCACCGAAATATGCCAAGACTTACATGGTCAGCTTATTTCAGTTTTTAAAATGCTTTGTGAAAGAGATTTCAAATATAGTCTAGGAACAGGGAGTCATGGAGTTCTACGGGGCCTCATTCACTGCCAGGAATCTCACTGGTGTTGAGCTGTTAGGGTAAACTTGGAGGAAGTAGGGTAAGGAAGACTGGTCTGAACTTGGTTCTCTCTGGGAGGCAGCTGAGCCCAGAGTTTTCTGGGCTTGATTCTGGACTTTTAATGAACCTGAGGAGCTCTGATAGAGGAGGATGCTTGAATTACCATCAACTGTTGGGGAAATAGCACATTTGGGGCTTCCGTGAAAGGCCATTTTCTTTCTTTACTGTGGAAAAAAAAAAAAGCGCAACTATCCATTCCTCTCGCTCGAATCCATCACCTAAAAACCAATTAGAGTTGTTGTGTAAGGCCTCATAACCCAGCAGTGCTGGAGTAATTGGGGGCTAGGTTTGTGGAAGTTAAAAATAGCCCTAGAGAAGAGGACAAGACAAAATGGTGAAGGGTAGTATCTATGGCCTGAGACTACCACTCACGACTCAGAAATAGATGTCTGTTTCTATTGTGCCTGCTCAAGTTCAAGCCAGGCATTCTTCTGCCTTCTGATTCACCAATTAATTTAGTAACTACTTGTCAGCAATCCACAGTGGATTAGGCTCAGTTCTTTATGCCAAATACCATTTCAGTAGGAAAGACAGACATGAAGCAGAACTGATACATAAACAAATAAGCCATATAACACCAGACAATTACAGATGGTATGAACATGTCCTGTTCCCCAGTTACTGGGCATATTTCCATAGGACGTTTCTACTAACTATTTGATTTTTCAAGAGTCCTTGGAAAAAAGTTCCTGTGTGAATAACATCCTGCTGGTCCTATTCCCGTGCTTGTCCCTTGGCTTTCTTTCTTTAAGCCTCTGAAATCTGCCCTTCATTTAGTCATAATCAAAATACTTGCAAACACAAAAAAAAAGGTAAAGCACCTCGGCTTCACCTTTCGACATCTGGAGTGGAACCCAGGGTCGGGCAAGGACCTGTGTCTACTGCCTCTGCGTACCAGAGGCCTTGTGCCTTTGCTGATGGGCACAGCTCCGTGGCTTTTGTCTCAGCTTCTTGTGGCTTCCTCTGCCTGTGATGTTCCTCCTCCTGCCTCTTTCAGCAGATCCCTGTTGTGATTTCTCCTCCAGACAATTTATCACAGCATCTACTGAAGACTAGAAATATATACCTGTTTGTCACTTGATACCCAACAGCCTTCTTCTGACAGGAAAGAAGGGAGAGAGAGAGAGGAGGGGAGGAGAGAGAGAAGAGAAAGGAAAGGAGGGAGGGAAATCTGTTAAGTAAACTCTGAAGATCTTGGAAACAAACAACTAACTCTATCTTAGTTACTGCTCTATTGCTGTGAAGAGTCACCATAACCAAGGTAGGTTATACAAGAAAGCATTGAATTGGGGGCTGACTTACAGTTTCAGAGGGTTAGCCCATGATCATAACGGTGAGAAGCATAGTAGCAGATAGATAGGCACTAGAGCAGAAGTGTTTGCATCCGGATCCGAAGGCAGCAGGCACAGAGACAGAGACAGAGAGGGAAGGTGCAGAGAGACACCTCCTGCAACAAAGCCATATTTCCTAATCCTTCCCACACATTCCCACAAACTGAGAACCAAGCATTCAAATATCTGAGCCTCTGGGGGCCATTCTTATTCAAAGCAGCACATTAAGCAAATTCAGTTGGGCTTGAAGGCATACTCCTTTCATCTCAGCATTTGAAAGACAGAAGCAGGAAGATCTCAGGAAGTCTGAGGCCAGTCTGGTCTACACAGTGAGTTCCAGGCCAGATCTGAGACCCTGTCCACCAACCTGCCACACAGAGAGAGAAAAAAGAAAGAAATGAGAAAAAGAAAGAAACTTAACAAATTCAAAGCATATATTGCCTAGACTATACTCTTTTACACTGAATACATCTTTATTGAAAAAATATTCTGTATATTTATAGAATACCACATGATGTTTCGCAATGTGTCTACATTATAGATATGCAAAGTCAAGCTAATTAGCAGGACGTTGCCTTTGACATCCTGTTTTTGTTGTTGTTGTTGGTGGTGGTGGTGGTGGTGTGTGTGTGTGTTGAGAAATCTTCTCTTGTAGCAAATTTCAAGCACGTAGATTAGTATGAAGAGTAATTTAAATGAAGTAGTCTACCAGGAAATTTTCTAAGAGGTCAATGAGATGAGACTTTTTATCAGCAGAATGTGAATGAGACATTTTTATGGAATTTACTTAACTGTATCATAATAGTACTGCTGTCTTAAGAACTATATTTAGAAATGACACATTTTGTGAGAAATGCCATAAGTGGGAAGAAACAGGGCCCGTAATGTTACACTCATGAGAGCAGCAGTGGAAAGGGCCGTAAAGTAGCAGCTTGATAGATGGGCTGGGCTAGCAACAGAAGAGCGAATCTGATAAGCTTCACAGAGAGAAGTGAATGGAGGGAGCTGTAGAAGAGAAGAGAGATGGGGAAAGGAGCAGCCAGGCTCTCCAAGAAGGATCCAGTCTGTGGAGAGAGTCCAGTGGCCCTTCTGGAAAACTAGCAAAAGCTATGAAACAGATGCCAGCAGTGGAAGACTTCAAGGATGCTGGTGGTCTGCATCCCTTAGCGGTGCTCAGTGCTGTCCCTGAGGATTAACGCTGGTTGCATTGTGTCTCTTCTTCAGTGTAGTCTCTCATTTCTTCTAGTCTTTCCTGGAGTCTTAATAGTACACGTGCACCTACACACACAGAGACACACAGAGAGAGAGACATACATACATACACACACAGACATACACGTATGCATCCCATACACACAGGCACACATGTGCACACACACATATACACACAGACATACACACATGCACATACACATGCATGCACACACGCACACACATACACACACATGAACACACACACACACATACACACACAGGCATACACACATGCACACACATGCAAAAACACACATAAACACACTACTTTAAGATAAGAGGTGTCTTTCCTTAAATGTACTCATCATATCTAGAGGAAAGAGAACTAATCCTTCTCTGTCTCATAACTGAGACTGTGAATTCGAGTTTTACAGACTCAAGAAAAGGTCTGTTCTCACCGTAGATATCCATGCCCCTGTCTTCTACAAGGTCTGTTTGTAGCAGGCACTATCAAATCCTTTTCATTCTCCTATTTAGCCCTCAGAGAGGCAGTTGGGAGTGAGGTACCAGAAGATTCCTTTGGCTGTGGTCAAAGAGTACCGCTAAGTTACAATATGCATTTCTGTTCTATGTCATGACACTGCTTTAAAGAATCTAGATCTCTTTGTTCGCCGTGAAATATTTGTATGTGTATACACATTTTGAAGGATGAGGACTGTAACACACTAATTGTGTTGTTGTTGTTTCCCCTTGGGTGCAGAATCATCAAATAGAAATGAAAGCCAGCATAGGTGGTATTGGTTGGACCCTGACCATATCCATTCAACAAATACCATAGCACGCTCCAGGCACAAGGAGCGCCGCGGAAAAGAACTGGTGCCCTTGATCTGCTGCTCTGCTGACACAGTCTCCTTCTGTATGCCTCAGTTATATATTTATATATTTATCTCAAATCCTCCCTGAAGTCTTGTAAAGTTTCCGTTTACTTGTTCATCAAAAAGGAATGTTAAATTTACAGAGATTAAATAGTTAGCCTCAGGTCAGACAGCAAGTGGCAGAGCTGGGATGCAGCCAGATCTGTCCAGCTCCAAAAGAAAAGGATTTAGCCAGCATGCCACACTCTCCTTTATAAGCATCTCACCCACCAGGACCAAATGTGCCCAGCAATGGAAGAACCAGCTGTGTGAGGAAACCTAAGGAGAAGGAGCAGGAGCACTTTAAGCACAAACACACCGTATTCGGCGGCTTCACAGTCTTTATGACAGACAAAGAAGAACTCTTACTAGTGTCCCACCCAAGTGAAAACAGTTCAGAACTGTACACTGGTGGAAAGTCTCCAAAGGAATGGGGGAGGGGGAGCTCCCTGAATCAAGTTTCTGCCTTTGAACTTCAGATTTGTTGATAATCCTCCCCTTATCCTGTCAGGGAAGATAAAACTGATTTCACTAGATAGCTATATTAGGAATAATTTCAAACCTAACTCAGGAAGATTGGTTTGTCGGATATAATCTAAATTAAGGAAG